ATACATTACCGGATAAGGCGTAAGACATTTTATACTTTATCAGAGTTGAACAATGGTATTATCTGTCTATTATGAATTAATACTTTTTTTTCTTCTTAGTATAAATCTATTTTATAATTATCTTTATGCATAGAATGATTTATTCGTGCAGTACACTCTTGTTCTGGTATTATTTGACATATGAAAGGGAATTTATAAACAGAAAAGAACGCACTTAATATGAAATTCTTTAATGCACATCATGCGCTGAGGGTGTACATTCTGTGCACTTTATTTGGGTGTAATGGTTTTATAAAAGGATATGTAAATAATTCTTATGAATGATGATAATGGACTGATTTCTGTATGCTATGTACTGCAGACTTAATTATTTCTTTTTCTTTCTCGTAAATATGGTTATTTCACCAGAAAGGAAATTAATTACGGGGCGCACATCTGTGAGCTGAATAATTAGTAATTATTATCATAAAAATTTAAATGAATTATATATTTTATTTATTCGCGTGTGTAGATGCACCCAATATCAGTGCGTACTGTGGCAGTGCGCTGCCTTATGTGAATAATATGAATAAATAATATAAATCCAGTGTAATTCTAGCTATGTAGGAAGAGGAACAATTATGTTTCACCTGGAAAAATAGTAGTTGAAAACCATCTCATAGTAATGTTTTCATATAAATGGAATGAATTGCAAGGAAAAATTTCTTTAAATCAATTTTTACTAAAAATTATTCGTTGCTTTAACATTTTATTCTGCGCGTAGTGCATTTTTTTTTTTGATGCAGTGGGCAATAAATTAAAAATTGTGTTTTTAAATAAATGTAAGTTTTTTTTTTCTTCCACTGGAATTCTATATTTTGTTAAATATAGTGCGCTTAAATTTTGGAATAATAGCGTATTAGTAATTAATTATTTATTCTCAATCCTTTGCGCATTATTTGCATCGTGTGCGCGAGATAGTATATTTTCGCACAGTATTTATTTACGCACCTCCTACATCCATATTGTATGATGTGATTCACCCAACAATATATAAAATAGACAAAGCTGAATATGTTCCCTGATGTGTTTTTTATTAAAAGTATTTAGACGCTGATATGATGTGTTGTAATGCATGTCATTATATTAGTGAGTTCCTCGTAGCAGATGAGATTTAAGAATAGCTTAAGCGATGTAGCATTAGTTATGATTATATTACGGCTGCGTGAATGTATTATTAGGTGTTAAAATATTGCAACAAAGAAGTAATATTATGTATATGGATGAACCAAATCTTGTATGCATCACCTTTGGTAAAATTCGTGTTTTATTTATAAGTTGTGTATTAGATAGGCCCCTTTATATGCACGTTTTTATTTTATATTATATAGTACATAAATGGACGTATGATTAAGGGTTATAAAACAGAAATACTGTGCCTACCTCTCATCATATATGAACTGAGACAGAGAAAAACTGAATAACACAAACGACTAAGAATATCCTCGAACGGATTCATGAAAAATCTAATATATTGCTACACATTATTTAAATTTTGAATTATTTGTTTTATTGTAACTGCCTTTAGAAATACTTTCTTTTTATGTTTTCCGTTGTAACGGTCCTAAGTATATATTGTCACATGTGTGGTGCACTACCATCAGCATTGACCACGTAATGGACGACGTAACTATTTAGGAAACATATCGATTTTTATAATTATATGCATCCATACCGTTGCATATGTGTATGGAAAGAATTTTTCATGTAATATTTATTATTATCATGGCACTTTTTCCTTATGGTAATTAAGGTTTCTTCGATGCTTTTTCATTACGTAATTTATATTTTAAGAGTCTCTTTTGGATAGGGGAGTAATGAAAGATTGCAATTTTATAATGCCTTCCCAAGATCCTCACCTTTATTTAATACCTATAGAATTTGTGGAAATCTATGAAAGGACACTAGGAATAACAGATATGCATGTATGTATAACGGCGTTTTCTATTTTGCATATCGTTAATTATAGTAAATTAGGGAGGAAAATACAGAATTCTTCCTTTGGAAGCTCTAAGGGAATTCACATTATCGCTGTGAACTGAGGGTGCATGAATTTCTAGAGACATAAGAAACGTGGTAGCGCAAGGAATACACGTAATTATCATACCTCTATACATTGCTATCATCTATCGATAACAGCCTATGTGTTTTTGAGCTTTTTACACCTTAGCATGGAAGATATATATACTCAAGCATATACATATATGTATATTTCCTCCCTTTTATTTGTGGGATTAGTTCATGAGTCATAAAGATAGGAAGTGTTAACCTGGTAAATTATAATGTCCCTCTTGCGTCCTACAGAAAGGGACTCCCCAAAAACGGAACGGGAGGGGAGACTCCTAGTACCGATGGTACACAATTTTACGCAAAGACAGAACATAGTTACTAGTATATGCAGATTCAGATGAGAGCATTGTTCTTTTGCCATAAAGATGTGCCCCCCAAAATTACAACATTGTTCATGACGTCTTTTATCTATGCATATATAGAGGGAGTAAGATATTGTTGAATTTGAACTGGTATAATATGACTTCTAATTTCATATTGAACTTTAATTGTATGTTGCATAGGATTAGAAGGGCTGCATTAGCGTATAAATGTGTTTATGCCTTCTTGCCGAAACCCCTATGAGTGCAATGGAATAAAGATATGCTGATGCAATGAGTACAAACTGAAATGGTGGGGCGCCGTGTTTATATGGCTTCTTTTATAGTTACGTTATTCCTGTGAATGCGTTCTCAGGCCCCATCCTCTTTGTTAGTGTGTTCTTTGATGTTCCGATATCTTCACCCGTATCCCCCCCCATGTTGCATTATTCCTATGTATTCTTTCTCATGTTTCTGCAATCTTATGAGAGTATTTTCCCATGGCTCCTCTTCTCTATATAGGCATCCTGATATGCCCTAATGTTGCGAGCGTGGTTCCATGTTGGGTAATTTCGGGAACGTCGTCTTATGTTGGGTAACTTCGCGAACGTCGTTTCATGTTGGATAATTTCGGAAACGTGGTCTAATGTGACCTAATCTTCGCGAACATGCTTTAATGTAACCTAATCTTCGCGAACGCTGTTTTCATGTGACCTAATTTTCGCGAACGCCCTTCCATGTGGTGTAATTTTCCCCGGTTGCGTCATCATGTGGCTTAACCTTGCCAATGTCCTTCCACGTGGATAAAATCTTGGCAGGGTCCTCTCATGTGTTATATCTGTCGCACGCGTGTGGTTCCGTTCGGCTTTATTATGTATATTCCTCTATTCAATTTTTTCATGAGGATACACCTTTCTGCTGCATTCCTTTGAGGAAATTTTTCTGCAGAGTTTGTTTATGATGACATCTCTCGCAGCATTCTTATGAAGATGCCTTTATTTGTTGCATCTTCATCACGATTTCTTCTGCTGTCTTGTTTCATGATGATGCCTTTTCTTCCTGTCTTCTTATGATGCTGCCCCTCCTGGTTATTGCGCTTTTCTTGTGTTACGTCACTGTGATCCTTCTTCTCTGTGTGGCATCTTTTTAAGAATGCTTATATTTTTCATGTCATTATGAGTATGTTCCTCCGGATGACATCCTCGTGTGTTTACATCCTTCCTGTCGCGTTAATATGAAGTTGTTTGTGTGTAGGGCCTTTTTCTCAAGATAATATTTCCTGTTCCATTTTTACGAAGTTTTCCTTTCTTAGGTTGTGCCATTGTGAGTTATCTTCCCTGTCGGGCATTTTTTTTCTCTAAGATTCATCTTACCGTGTTGTACTTTTAATATATTCTTTCGCTCCTCATCCTTATAGAGATGGTTTCCTCTGTCGTGTCACTATGAACATTCTTGTTCCTGTTTGATTTCTTTCCTCACGATATTTCTCTTTTCGGGTGCCGTGATGAGTTTGCCCGTGCCACGCCATTGTGAGAATCTTTTTTGGTGTGGCATCTTTTTTACGAAGATTCTCCCTCCCACGTTAGATCGAGCATATTTTTCTGTTTGACTCTTCTATAAAGATGGTTTTTTTATTTATGATGTTACCGCGAAGGAATTTTTCTGCGGGGAATTTTTTTTAGGAAGATAGATGTCTTCCGCGCCATTCGGATGTTGCTTCTCTGCTGCTGTATTTTGAATAAATTGTCTTGTGCCATCTTCTTTATATCGATGCTCCTTACGGCCGCGGGTTCGTCAAGATGTTTTCCTGTGTGTGAGTTTTTTATCATGATCTAGCCTTTTTTGTAGCCTTCTGAAAATGTCCTCCCGTGTGTAATTCCCCTTATAAAGATACCCCTCTTTCGCGGGACGGTTAAGATTCTGTTCCGTTCTTTATTTTTTTTATGAAGATTCTTTCTCCTCCTGGTATGTCCTCGACGTTTTCTTCTTCTGTC